ATAGTTATTGCATCCAGTGTATTTAGATCTAATTTCTGCATATCAGAGAGAACATCTCTGTGCATCTCTCTGAGCTTGGCTTACCTCACTTTGTTTTAGTTCCATCCACTTCCTGCAAATGACATTATTTAATTTTTTGCTAAAATTCCATTCTGTATAGGTAACCACATTTTTTAGGATCCACTCACCTATTGTGGGGCATCTGGGCTGTTTCCATAGCTTAGCGATTGCAAATAGTGCATCAATAAACATGGATGTGTAGATGTTTTATCACATCCAGGCTCATGATATTCAGGGTAGATGCCCTAAGTGGTATGGCTGGGTTGTAGGGAAGATCTATGCTTAATTCTTTGAGGAACATCTAGACTGCTCTCCAGAGTGGCTGTACTAGTTTACATTCTTCCCAACAGAGCAGTCCAGTTCCTTTTCCCCTACATCCCCACCAACATTTCACAACACTAATCTTACAATGCTATTGGATTTGAAAAGTTTCATGTATACTATAGCCTTGACAATCAGAGGAATCTTTATCAAAGTTCTCCTGTAAGCATTGAACAAAGGAACAAGAGAGAATACTTCTATCAATATTATTAATACATTTGTAAGCTGTAATGTCACCTACAATAATTTCCAGTTTCCTTTATATGGCAAGTACCCTTTAAGAGATACACTTGGTGCTTTCTTATTTCATTAAGCCTGTCTCTTTCCTCTCATGCATATTTTCTTTCCTATTTTCATCTTGCTATTGTAGGTAAAACCTGTGAAGAAGTGAAGGTTATCCGAAAGAATGCAAAAGGGTTCGTGCAGACAGGTATGGCACTACACTTAAGAGTTCCTATCTCTGTCTTGTATTCTCTTTCTTTGAGAAATGACAAATGTGAAAAATGCTGCCATCATCATCTTTCTAATATCTTATCAATGGATGTAGCTTAATTAAAAATAATTCTATTGGGGGCTGGGAAGGTGGCTCAGTGGTAGAGCGCTTGCCTTGCATGCTCGAGGCCCTAGGTTTGATTCCTCAGCACCACATAAGCAAAAAGAAAAAAAGCCGGAAGTGGCGCTGTGGCTCAAGTGGTAGAGCGCTAGCCTTGAGCTGAAGAGCTGAGGGACAGTGCCCAGGCCCAGAATTCAGGCCCCATGACCGAACCCCCCCAAAAATAATAATAATTCTATTGATAGTTTATTAATATGGGACTTATTTGGTTTCTATTATCATTCGAGATAACAACTGCTTGTAGAAAAGTAGATACACTGAAAAACCTACATGTAATTTCTTTTTTCTTTCCCCTTCCCACCCCTCAGCAAAACTTCAGGCTCTCCAGAAGCTCCACCTATGTAGACTAATTTCCCTGGACTTTTGTACTATATATAAATAGATACCTGAAGGTTTTACTCTAGTTTTTTTCATGTTCTCCTAGGAATAATAAATATGTGAGGCTTCCTTCCTTTATTATTATTTATTACCTAGGTCCAAATTGTTTTATTTTGTTCAGAGTTGTATTTGGTGAATTTTATTTATTTTTGTCAGTCTTGGGGCTTGAACTCTGGGCCTGGGTGCTGTCCCTCAGCTCTTCAGCTCAAGGCCACTTCCAGTTTTCTGGTGGTTAATTGGAGATAAGAGTCTCATGGACTTTTCTGCCCAAGCTGGCTTTGAATCACAATCCTCAGATCTCAGCCTCCTGAGTAGCTAGGATTACAGGCATGAGCCACTGGTTCCTGGCTTCATTCATTTTTCTGTACATTTAAACAATAATACCACTGACAACATTGATGCTCCAATTTTTAAATACTTTCTTCTTTTGAAGGATACTTAATATATAGTGTGGAGGTTTTTTTAATGATGTTTCTGGAAACATCTTTATATCTCTACCTGAATGAATTTCTCTAAGATATATTTTAATCTCAGAACTGATATAAGATATTCATAATGTAGACTTTGTTAGAGAATGCCAAATTTGTTTCCAGAATCCTTGCACTGAGTTATTAGCCATAGCAGGGATGGGGGTGGGGGAGTGCTGGTTGCTAAATTTCCTTGGTACTACTTGCTTTAGAATTTTAAATCATTGAAAATTTTCTTTTACGCAATATTGCTTGGAGTATTTTTGATTTCTTTGCCTACTAAGTCTGGTGGCCTTCAAGCCTTCAGCATATTTCAGGAAGGTCTACTGAAAGTTTGAATAAAAATAAAGCTCCAATGGAATAATAAACTGGAAAATATGAGAACCATGTTATTAGCAGAGACAGTAAAGTAGGAAACCAAGGGAGGACAGCGAAGCTATCATCACAATGTAAAACATTTACCAGTTCATAAAGTAGGCATTTGACTCCAATATCACTTACTATCTCATGATAATGTTTATGAATAACCCAGATGTGTCTGTGGTGTTTGAGAAGTACATATTTACATTTTTATAAATTATTCCTTTCTTGTGTTTATCCTTAATGTTTTCAAACAAGATTTTAAGTATTATTATTTATCTGTATTTAAACATTTACATTTTGCATCTTATACCATTTTTGAACAGATCTAAAAGCTCTTATATTTTCATTTTTATTAATTTTAAATGATGAAAAATTATTCAGTTACATTTGTCATTTGGTGACATTGGAGGCATAGCTCAAATGGTAGAGCAGCTGGCTAGCAAGCACAAATCCTTAAAACCAATCCTCAGGGAGGTGAAGGGGAAACAAAGGAGGAGGCTGCAATGCTTGGTAAGAAATGTATGCATTATCCTGCCCATGTAATTGTAACCCCTCTGTACAGTATGTTCACAAATAAAATTAAATTAAATTAAAAAAAAAAACCAATCCTCAGAACCACTACATATATGTGTGTGTGTGTGTATGTGTATACATACATGTATAATATATTTTGAATATAACCTATATAGAAATATATGCTATATAATACATACTTTGTATATAATTCCTATATATTATCTAATTTCTACATTTATATAATATACAATATATAATATGTCTAATTATATAGGAAAGTATGTAAATAATGTAGCTTTTATATATATATTTACATTTTAAAATTTTTACTGTAAAGGTGATGTACAAAGGGGTTACAGTTACACAAGTCAGGTAATGAGTACATTTCCTTTTTAATAATGTCACCCCCTCCCTCATTCTCTCCCAGTTTTTCCCCTTCCCCCCAAATTGTACAGTTCATTTCCAATATAGTGTCTAGTGGGTTTCACGGTGGAATTAGTGCACTCTTTGTCCCGCCATTTCTGTGCTTCCCTTTCCGCTCCCCAAATTACTTAAACAAGACAAAGGTACAGAAATATAAAAGAGCCACAAAGGGAATAAAACAAATAAAAATGAGAGAGAGAAAAAGAGAGAGGAGCTGCAAACAGTAAAGTAAAAAGCCCTCTTGCTTCCATTTCTTGAAGTTCATTTCAATAAGTATCATGTTATAAGATCATCTGCACATAGATATTGAGCCTTTGTAATCCTCTCCTAACCCCTCATTTGTAATAATTAAAATATGCCTATAAATCTACAAGTAAACCCAATGAATAATAAAGGCAAATAATTACACCTGGACATGATTAATTCAAAAGCTACTTTACATTTGTTTTAAAAAATTCTGTTGTTACTGTAGATTGTCTTCATAAAATTTCTCCTAAAACTCCTCTTACCTTTTGAACCTTATTTGTTTTTTTTTTTTAATTTTATTTTATTTTATTTGAGAACATACTGTACAGAGGGGTTACAATTACATGGGCAGGATAATGCATACATTTCTTACCAAGCATTGCAGCCTCCTCCTTTGTTTACCCTTCACCTCCCTTCCCAGCCTCCCCCCTCACCCCCACCCAATCATACCCCCCCTCCCCCCCCACACCGACATTGTAAAGCTGGTTTTGACATGACATTTTGTACTTCTCATTGTTGCAACAGGTCCACCTGAATCCTTAAACGACTTGTTTGTCCCCATCTCCTCCACATGTTATACTGACATCAAATATAGTGAAAGCGGGGGTTACACTGTGGGGGAGGGACATACAAAGCAACAAAGAAATAATCTTATAAATGCGTTAGAAACACATACATGAAAGAAACAAAAACATTAAAATACATATTTAAGGGTTCGTTTTCCTAACATCACATTATCTGACCTTTTCCGCTTGACTCATACCTATACTAGATACTGCAAATAAGGGAAACCATGGGACCTATGTTTCTTTGGGCCTGGCTTACTTCACTTAATATAATTTTTTCCAAGCCTTTCCATTTCCTAACAAATGGGGAAATGTCATTCTTTCTGATGGAGGCATAGAATTCCATTGTGTATATATACCACATTTTCTTGATCCATTCATCTACTGAGGGGCATCTGGGTTGGTTCCATATCTTAGCTATGGTAAATAATGCTGCAATAAACATAGTTGTGCTGGTAGCTTTAGTGTGGTCTTGTTTGTAAACATTAGGGTAAATGCCCAAAAGTGGGATTGCTGGGTCATAGGGGAGTTCTATGTGAAGTCTTTTGAGGAACCTCCATACTGCTTTCCAAAGTGGTTGAACAAGTTTACATTCCCACCAACAATGAAGTAAGCCTTTTGAACCTTATTTGTGAGGAATTCATATGTATGTGTGTGAATGTGTGTGTGTGTGTGTATAGTTTCTTCAATTCTTTGCCTTCCGTGCCTCCTTTGCTTATTTTGAGTTATATATCATAAAAGTAACTTAAATTCGGTCTCAATATTACTTCTTTAAATTCATCTTTGTGTTCAGACTCACAATGTATTTTCCTAATACGATATTAATAATATATTTTTATATTTACTTATGTGTTTATGTATATTTAGGTATTTATATATTGATATACACACAAAAATAGTTTTCACTATTAACTACAACTAATTAAGTGACAAGAGCTGAATGTTTTCTATAGAATTTAGTTATACACACTGTCGGTTATGTATAAAAGGCTGTTTTAACTGCACACTCAAGTATTTGTGTTTTCTCTTTATTAAGAATATGGATGGATGTTACTTAGTACCACCCCGAAAATTAAAAATCTTGAAACTAAAACGACCAATACTGAAGGTAAGAACTAAATTTGCATCACGTAGTAAACTAACAAAACTATGTTTATAGTCACAAGTCTCTTATGTCAATATTTTAATAAGAAATAAATCCTATATATTATAAAAATAAACATGACACATAATGTTAAGAATGTGCTATAATATTTTATCAGTGATGTGTTGTTCATAACCATTTTGGTGTTTGCTACATTTGTTATATAATTACAGAAATAAATGAATTTTTAAAAATATATTTTTAGATTTCCATGTCAGGACTGACAGGAACTGGCTACCACACATTTCTAGTTCACTGCACAGATTTCTCTTAGGAGAACAAAGGACTAAAAGAAAATTTATTGGAGTTATATAATCCAAATTCTTTAATGAGACTCTTTAAAACACCATTTCTGCAAGTGTTTTTAACTTTGTAGGTGGGAAAAAAATCAAGAAATGCATACATTTAATCTATAGGAATTCACAGTTAGTTTTTCTCAGTTCAATCTATTGGAACACTCTATGAAAAATATGAATTATGATTGTGAAAATTTTGTACTTGGGAATTTTAGTTTATTAGAATAAATTGGAATATGTTAACATTACCATATATTTCTGTGAAGAGAAAGCTTGAATAGGACTTTATGATTTTAGGTTAAAAGTTTATTGCCTGTGGTTAGATACTGGTCATAATTAGTTTTGGCCAGGTTTTTAAAATATCAAATGAATGATTTATGAACCAATTAATATTCATGACACTGATAGCCATGTGCTATTTTATAGTACAGAGGTACTGAAAAAGTATATAATCTTGCAGGACAAATTAAAAAATGTATCACAATTTATAGTTTAACAGAAAATAATGGTTAGATAGATGACAGTCAGAAAGACAAATAAATAAATACCTTGCCAAATAAATACCTCAGACAAGAAATATGTTCAGTGGTTTAAGGAAGATCCATTTGTATAGCCTCCAGGCATAAAGAAAAGGGTTAATGGGTGAAAAGAGGTTTTAACTGAATCTTAAAGCATGAATTTATATGTGAAAGGAAAGTGAGGTCTTGATTTGTGCAAAGAGTAGGAAAAGTAACAGAACAAGAAAAGGATACACTGCTTGGGGGAAGGCACATGAGGGTTTCAGAAATGAGCAGACTTGGTTAACAAATCTTCAAATAATATCTTGAATTTTGTGATCAAAAGTGTAAACCTTATTTTTGTATTTCCTAGCTCTAGCCCTAAATATATTTATGTAGCAATGTTATAGGATTAAATCCTTGGCTCACAAACTCTGAGTGTATATGCAGAATTATTTGACTACAAGATGATATATGGAAACAGTTCCAACTTGTAGTGAGAGGACCTAATCTATGAAGGATCAATAGATATGAAAGAGAAAGAGAAATAATAAAAGGCAATCAATAGGCTTTTTAAGATCAATAGGTAAATATTACAAAAGAAATAAGGTTTGTTGCCTTCCTAGTCTCTATGGGGAATGTAGATTGAGACTTGAATGAAAAATGGAAACTTCGAAGATGATATAACTATTTCAGACTTTTATAGCAGGAACAGAATGAGAAGCAGGATGTTGGCAAGGTGGATCAAACTTACAATCCCTGTTACTTGGTAGGCAGAGATAAGATCCTGACCCTTCAGATCAGTCCTGTAAAAAAATGATCGAAACTCTATCTCAAAAAAAAAGGAAAGAAATGGCAATGCACCCCTGTGGCCCAAGATATTCAGGAGGTGGGGGTAAGAGGATAACAGTCTAAGACTAGCCCAAGCAAAAGTTCAAGACCTGTCTGAAAAACAAACTAAAGCTCAAAGGGCTAAAGTTTAAAATAAATATGATTTTCTGATTCTGGTGGCTCATGTCCGTAATCCTAGATACTCAGGAACTGAGATCTGAGAACTGAGATTTTCTGATTCTGGTGGTTCATGTCTGTAATCTTAGCTACTCAGAAACTTGAGATTTGAGGCTTTTGGTGCCCACCCAGGTGGGCACAAAAGTCTATACGTCTCTTGGCTCCAATGAACTACCAAAGAGCCAGATGTGGAGCTGTGGGAGAGCCATTGCTCTGAGTAAAAAAGCTCAGGGACAGTACGCAGGCCTGTAGTTCAAGCCCTGGAATCAGCACACACAAAGAAAATAAAAAATATAATTACTTCATTTGCATTTTTGTGTTTAATTTCTTTTGAAGAATTAGGAGATGTCTATGAGCTGTATTGATGTTGCCTATGTCAGAACTTTGCTCATTTTTTATTGCACACTAGAATTTCCTTGTATGAATATTCTGCCATTTCCTTTTCTATTTAGCCATTAGCAGAAATCTTGGGTTTTGTGATTTGGAACTATTATGAGTAGAACTATTATGAACAGTCTTTATGGATATATTTTTCTTATTATGGATAAATGCATAGAATTGGAATGTTCAGCCCTGCTAAGTGTGTATATAACTTTTATAAGAAGCTATCACCCCATTTTCCAAAAAGTCTGCATCAGTCCCATCTATTTTCCACCCTCACTAATATGTAGCCTGACAGTCTCCCAAATTGTAGATCTTATAGAGGGTAGGAAGTGTTATTGTACTGTTGATTGAATTTACATTTTTTTCATGGTTAGTGATGACTAGAGACGTTTCATTTGCATTTGTACATTGTCATATATGGAGAGTTCATGCCTATGCCCATATTTTGAATAGTAAGTCATATGTTTTCTCTACATTTTCTAGATACAAGTCATTTCTCAGAAATTTTTTAAAATCTCACATCAGATTATACTCCATCTTGGTTTTTGGACCCTTCCTTTCTCTTCTTTGTTTTCTTTAGTTCCTGCTCTGAGGATTCCAGATGTTTCCACCACTCAGTGCTGTTTTGCACTGATCCGATCCCCTGTTTATTTTCCATTGACGGTTTACAGACATTAAAGAGGGCAACTATGTGTAGAGATGGAAAGTTTTATGAATAATTTCCTCAGTTTCTCTCCTCATGTTTTCTGGCATGTATTCTCCCCACTTTATGGAAACTTCATTCATAAATCTTATTAAGCAGTATGGCCATTACTGTCTACAAGAGACAGGGGTAGAGAGTTAGTCCTCTTTAGTTTTTGTTCATATTGTTCTGAATGTTCAGTGATAACTGACCTCAACAATGTAAGATTAGGTGAAAATACAATTATTCCAAGAGCACTGAGAGAGATTTAATCTATCCCCTATTAAAATGAAGTGATCTTTGTTTCCATTAAAAAAAACAAACAAACAAAATACGTTCTGTGCATCACAACAGAGGCTTCGAATGGAGAATACATTATTTCTAGAACCAAGACCACTATTTTTCAATTTGAAAGAAAATCACGGTTCCCAAAAGGCACAACTTTATGAAACATATTGTTTCTAAGAACACCATGGTGAAGAATAATAAAATAAATGGTGTGATGTGTACAAAAACAATATACATTATGAAGGGAAGAAAAGTAGTGATAAGATGTTAAATTACTGGGACTCAGTGAATGAATTATACAAGAAATTCATTGAGCAAAGTGAGTTAAATTTATAAACTATATTTCTGTTTCATTATCTCGTATAATCAACTGTGCCATGTTATTTTCTCAAAAGGAAGTTTCATGTTTCAGTCTCAACAAAAACTCATCTCTGGCTTAGAGCCAGGAGGATCTCAGTTTTTGTTCAGTGATTCTCAGACAGGAAGCTGGACTCAAGGACATATTGAAGGACAGTGAAATTACTGCCTAAGCTTAATTCTCAAAACCTCTGACCATTTGTGCACAGGGCACATCATAAGGAGCTTCATAAATCTATGTTCAAATAAAACAATTCATTACATCAAAAATATCTTATACAACATCTTACCAACCCATTCATTTATCAGCTGGGAAATGTGATTTCTAAACACTTAATAAGTGTTCATTAAAGATACATAGCTGTTTATCAGTTAAAAACAACAAAAAATCATGGACATATAGTGCAGTGACCTTGTGATACCATACTGACACCTTAAATCTGTGAAAACTGGAAAAGAAATTAAAACTTTAAGTTATGCTGTGCTTGCACTAGAATACAAACAGCAGTAACAACTCAGAAAATCTTGTTCTGTCTTGTCCTATTTACTATGTCATGTCAGAATAGATTTTTGTGCACTTTTAATTTCATATTATTTTGTTCCTCCTACTTGGCTATTCATAAAATCTTAATCCTAAACCATAGTGGTGCTATGGAAATCAATTATTCACAGAATAAGGCTGAAATTATAGTCAAGAAAAAGATAAAATGAGTCAATACTATGCTACATTTGGTTTCCCCTACATTTTAATGAAGCAAAATAAATATTTGGATTATAACAGTATCTGCCTGTTTGTGAAATGTGCATTGAAACCTTCTTAAAACCTTGCCTGTGGGAAAGTTCTTTCAACATGTTTGAATGAGAGATCAATTTGTAATTTTTTTTAACTAGCTTGTTCTTTGGTCCTTTTGACTATTATTGATTTAAAAAATGTGAGTGAATTAAAGAGGAAAGGTAGAATACATCACACCTGATATATTCTTAACAAATATCTGATTTTAGGATATGATCAATGCAAACTAAAACACATTTGAATATCAGTAGTGATACTGTTTTATCAAATATTCAAAAATAAGCAGCAGGGGAGTATTATGTAATATATTTTAAGACAGCTTCTCTTTATACTTCTGTTCTTTAAAAATAGTAAAACAATCTTCATAGTAAAGATTACACTTCATAACTGGGGAAATAGAATATAAATTTAGCTCTCCCACAAAAGAGCTCTGTGGACATGAACATTATATGACTTACCTAAGACTTGATTTCTTCATCTATAAATCTCATTTCCTAAGATTGTCATGAGAGTTATGTAAAAACATAACATCAAATGTGCTTAACTTTGAGCTACATAGTAAGTTCAAAGCCAGCGTGGTCCACATAGCAAGAGCTCCACACCACCCCCCCCCCCCCGCCCCAAAAAGAAGGAAAAGACAAAAAAGGAAGGAAAGAAAACAAAACAAAGCAGCCAGGTGTTGGTGGTTCGTGCCTATAACCTTAGCTTACTCAGAATGCTGAAATATGAGGGTGCATCCTGGGCAGAAAAGTCCACGAGACTCTTATCTCTGATTTGTCAGCAACAAGTGAGAAATGGAGCTGCATCTCAAGTGGTAGAATGAAAGAAAACCTTGAGCAAAAAAGCCGAGTGAAAGCTTGACGTCCTGAGTTCAAGCCCTAGTTTCAGGGGAAAAAAGGGAAAGAATAAAGGAATGAGGGAGGGAGGGAAAAAAAAGGAAGGAAGGAAGAAAGGAAGAAAGGAAGGAAGGAAGGAAGGAAGGAAGGAAGGAAGGAAGGAAGGAAGGAAGGAAGGAAGGAAGGAAGGAAAGATGGAGGGGAGTGAGTGAAGACGACGTACTTAGCTTAGCCTACTTCTGACTCGTATTAATCAAGAAAATAAAAATCAATACGAGTCATGAAATTGTTGGTTAATGGTATACTTATATAACCAAAGAATATTTGGTAGAATGAACTTTTATTCATAAATGATACACATATCTTATTTTCATAAAGACTGTAGCTGTGGAGGAGGATACTTTCTATAAGATAACATTTAAAAGGCATGTAAAAGAATGCAATTGAAATGATCTTGAGGATGCTTCTTGTCTCCGTGGCCTAACATTGAAACAAGAAGAAAGTCATTTCTCTGTACTCTGAGGTCAAATGAAATGAGGAAACTATGTTGTTTTCATTGACACACTGAGATATTTTGTGTCTCCCATTTAAGATCAGTGATTGCCATTATGATCCAGCCCTGTAGAGTCTTGGGAGTCAAAAGGATTGAGAGTAAGCACTTTGGTGGAGTTTCATGAACAACTTTGCTCTGCTTCTGCAACCTTCAACCAATTCAGGACATGCCAGGATTAGAGTCACTGAGGCACATCGGACTGAGTGGATTTTATGATGAATGTAGCTTGAATGCTGTAGTGAGAACATCAATCACGCTTCGCATGAGACTCCAATTTTCAGAAATGGAAGATAGAAAATGAGGTTATTATGAGGATGAAGGAGACTTACTTGCCTTTATTTATTTTATTTTTTTTCAGCAGGAGAAACTCATTCTGGATTGAAGGAAGAACTTTTTCAATGCATGAGTGGTTGAATGCTATTTATACTGGACTATGTGTGATCTCTTTGAAGGACATATTTAAAATATGCTTTGGAATCACTTTTTTTAGGATTAAAGATTTACCTTAAAAATGAATTAAATACTGCCTGTCACTTTAAAAAAAATGTTCTTTTTTCAGTGTTCATTCATAATCCTAGGAAACATGTTGAATTTTGAAATCTTTTTGAATGCTTTATTTGGGTTTTCTGAGTTCAATTTTATTTGGTATATTATTAAGTCATCTTCAATGTTTATTTTAGGTTTTTAGCTTTTTTGAAATTTTACTCTAGAATTTGTGTGTATGTGTGTGTGTGTGTGTGTGTGTGCTGGAATTAGAATCTTGAACTCAGGACCTGGGTACTGTCCCTTAGCTTTTTTTGCTCAAGCTTAGTACTCTACCACTTGAACCACAGCTCCACTTCTGGCTTTTCGGTGGTTAATTGGAGAGAAGAGTCTTTCCTGCTCAGCTGGCTTCAAACTGCGGTCCTCATCTCAGTCTGCTAAGTAGTTAGTATTCTGTAATTTTATGACCTATTGATCAAAGAAATTTAAGACTATTCATACTAATAAAGCAGAATATTTCTTTTCACATATTAAAATCATCAAGGTATATTGCTCTGTACGTAAATGCTGATACTTTCTCGGTCTATTGTACCTTCAGAGGTGAACAAAGGCATCTTCTTTGGCTACCCCAGTCGCCGCCACAGCTGCTCTCAAGTGAACATACCAGCACCATGTGTCACCAAAACGATTTCACACATTGAAGAAGTGGAGTCAAAAATACAGAATTATTTGAAACAAGTAAGGGCCTATTGAAAAATGTGAACAGTTTTGTAAATTCTCTACAGCCAAGTGATGTCTTGTTTAACAATCCTGGGGAATTATTCTGAATTCTTTGATAACTAGTAGAGTTTTCAGTTTTCCTTCAAATGTATAATTTGCTAAACTAGACATTTTTGACAGTCTCATGCCAAAAGGGTGAAATGACCTTATTAAGTGGACGTTCTCCCTATCTGTTTGTTCTTTTCCAGAGACAATAATGCTAGCTAGTAATTTCCATAAGCCAACTTGTCTAATAAATAGAATTTACATCCTATTGGGGACACAACCCTAATTAAATGATTAGCTAAGTAAATTGGTACATATAAGGACAGTTTGACTGTTAATGAGTTATTATGCTCTAAATAAATACTTAACAGGTCCATTGAAGGAGAATATCACCATTATCATCACACTCTGTTTTTATGTTCATTTGTTTTTAACATGTCAGTATTTTCCTTCATTGTCATGAAGGGAATTCAGTCTTGAAAATACTTTTGCCAATAATTTCAAAAGATGGCTTAGGAATGATATAAGAAAACAAACTTTACCCTATCTTTCATGAAGATGATATTTCTAAACAATGAATAGTTAGGCTGCCTGGCGGATGAGTTTATGCAAGGACTTGTGATTTTTCTTCTCCTTTAGCATGGCTACTGGGTCTGTCTCAGAGAACTTCCTAAGGGCCACTTATTATTGGTGCCTCTTTTGAGAGCTGCTTCAATATAACCCTTAAGATCATGGACTATTGTATGATTTTAGATGGCAATAGAGAGATAAAGAAGTGTGTGAGAATAAACGCCAGCATATCCAATGTCCTCAAGGTGTCTTAACCATTATTATTTTCACAGTATTACTTATTGTTATCCCATCTATTGCTGTCCCAAATCATAATAGTCCTTTGGAAAATACTTTTCAGTTGATAGGACTGTTAGGCTCCTGGATTTTGAAGAGTACTCTAAGGAAACAGAAAAGAATGAACCTTTATTAATGAAATATGATGTACATATCTTACCTAGTCTAGTTAACAATTACCCATGTTGCTAAAAAATGAAAGAAGTCATAGCTCTTTTAGTAAACCTTTATGACAGCTGCTATTAGTTGAAATCATGACAGAAGTTACTATATTTTTTTCTCCTAGACTTCCTAAGATTATGATTGAATGCCTTGCTGTACTTAATTGATATATAGGGAATAGTGACTTAACATAATTCAAAGCCACAGGCTGGAGTGGGCCTTATGAGCACATTCTATTATCATAGCCTATATCCTCCAGCAGTCCTACCAGGGGCTCCTACTGGTTGAGCAACTGCTAAATATCTCGAATAATGGGCAGCTAAAAGATTCACTGAGATAAAATAATTTACAAATGATCTTACGCCTTGTCTTCAGAAAAGCTGAAAAGAGCCTCTCTTATAGAAATATATAGTGGGCCAAATGAATAAATAGGAAGCTCAAAGACCAGTACTGGGGCTGACTGGTTTAGTGTTACATCTAGTCCACAGCTCATTGCCATGTACACCGTAGGTACTCAATAGATACTCGTTGAATTAAAATTTAGTGAGGATTGAAGTCATAGTTTTCTTTTCCAGATATACCAAATGCATCCTAGTCACCTAAAAAAGCAGCTACGATGTTCCAAACATTTGCTATTTTGAAGGCATTCAATAATCTATTTTTATATTGTCTTTATATGAGTGCAACTTTACCTTTATTTACAAGAAATGTCAAGTCATTAAATCACTCAGCTAGTAATCACCTGAACTGGCATTCAGATTCAGTTCCAAGTGGAACCCCCAGTTCCCTCATGTATAGCCATTGAGGTTTTTGCTATAGTATCTGAATGTTCAGCCTAAAAGAAAACTTCCTTAAACATCTGGAGCCAAATGAAACCAAGCAAAACTTACCTATAACTATGCCATAGCTTTCCCAAAAGCTGGCACCCTCTTCCTCTACAGCGTTGCCTCAGATTTGTGCCATGCCCCTTGAAGTTTACACATCTGCAAGAGGTGAGGCCAGTGGTTTTCTAGGCTCTTTAACTGAGTATGTGTCTTGCCTCTTGTTTCATTGTTTAGAGAAGACCTCACTGGTTTCTTTAATCAAACCCATGTAGATAAAACCTTACGTATTAAACACAGTGCATTAGCTCTGTACAAATAGGGCAAAATAAGTTGAACATTTATAGACCAATGTATCTCATCACCACTTTCTTGATGCCTGATGCTTTTCCTTTCTCTCCTTGGAACATCCTTCTTCCCTGATGCCACATAGTCACGTTGAGAAAACTTCTCATTTGCCCGCATTTCTTACCTCCAAATCATAATTATTTGCCAATAAATAAATTCAGGATTTAATTTCTTAAGTTTTGCATGAGGTTGATTTGTTTGTCAACATGGGAAGTGAAATTGTTCCTCAACCAATTAAATTGGGCATGTTGTTTGATAAATGTTGTATATGTTTCCAGATTGATTTTGACTTGAATGGTAGAGCTATGGCATGCTCTAAACTGAAAGTAAATTCAAGGATATGAGTGTTCTTTAAGAGAAATGGTATTCAGTACTTACATACTATCTCTACACATGTTTAAGATATGAGAGGGGATTTCTACCATGACATTAATTTTATCTTAGTTTTCAGTATTGAAGCTCGCAGGTTTTATGAAAACTTCCTTCAGAAAAATAATATTTAAACACATAATAGTTTGGTGAGAATTTCTAATGAAAGTATAAAATAAAAAGCAGACTTAATGGGAATGTTAAGTGTATCAAGTAGCAACTTCTAGGTTTAAAATTATTAACAAATGAAGTATTTTATTTAATGCAATTAAAAAATGAATATCAGATTTGACAGTTGTTGCCAACTAGTTCCTGTTCTGCTCCAATGGTAAAGCTGTAACTCCTCTAGAGAGAGAGAGGCTGAGATAATAATCAACTAAGACATGCCTGTGACCTTTGCAGACCCTCCTCACTCCTTGCTATCTAACCTAAGAAAAATGTCTGTACCCCTAAAGATGTCTGAAAGATGTAGTAAAGCGCTGCCTACCCATAACTGTCATTGATTGCTTTTCTTTCTTTCTTTTCACCTTATCTCTTTCCTAAGCATATAGGGCCAAGTAGCCTGACCTGATAAGTAAAACTCCTCGAGTTTGGGGCAGGGGCTTCAAACTCTTGTTCCATACCTACTCAGGAGGCTAAGATCCATAAGACTGAAATTTGAGGACAGCCCAAGTAGAAAAGTTTTCACTAGACTCTATCTCCAAAAGTAGTCAGTTAATAAGACTGGAGGTATTACTAAAGCTGTAGAGTGCCATCTTAGCCAGACTCTGAATTTATAACCTACTACAGCTGAAGGTAAAGGAAATGAAAAGATCAGGTTGAGAATCTTTTCATTCTATATAAGCTTATATTTGAGTTTGTACCACCATAAAATATTTCATTCCGGGATGAATTTCTGTTGTTTTTGTTTACCCACCTGCCACCTGTTTGTGCCCGTTGTAAAATATTATTAGTTACTTAAGCTTTGCTTTGATTCCTCTAGGCCCATAACTTCTGAAACTAGTTTTGTTCCAAGACCCATATCCCAGGAATTCCACATATCAGGTTCAGCCATTTGACCCAATACCAAATGAAGAGATAAGTAAAGGAGAAGAGCAGAAAAAGGAGATTTATTCTATGGCCTGGGCCACTGCAGAGAGAGAAAACAATTCAGTCCATCTACATCAAGCTTTGGAGTATAGACACAAACTTTAGGTTAAAATAAAAACAGACTTTGGGCAAGGAGAAGAGAATATGCATAATTATTAGGCAATCCTCATCATTATATGGCCTGGTTGGTTATTATGGCAAGGTTCTAGAGAAGTAGTCATCACTGTCATTTCCAAAGAGAACAATAAAGAAGTCACTTTTGTCTGGCTGTGGCCTGACCAGAGGTGGCTCTGCTGTTCCTCTCTCTCTAGCCTTTCTTGTAAAGATGCCCTCCTCGTATTCCACAGCAAATGCCTTAAAAATAAAGAGATATAAAAGTGGGGGGAAAGGGCCACTGTTTATAGTTAAATTGTGGTCCCAAGTCTCACAAAAGTTTCTCACATCATACAAAGCAGCAACTTATTTGATATATCTTCCTTTAGCCACTCTCGTTTGTTTTGTTTGTTTTTACTAGATTTCTAATTTCTGCAAATGTCAATTCAAAGTGAGTTTTTTGTGTGTGCTAGTTTTATAGCTGTCAGTGCTTTTCAGCAAAAGCAGTTTAAGTCTTTGTTACACTTCCATGCTTGACCAACTTCTACATCTTAGACATATCTCTAATATGATTAGAGACTTATTCCTGCATTCTGGGGATGCAACATAAATAAGATTTATATAGCCCTTCCATTGTTTATTTGATTATCACCTATTTATTCTCACACACTGCCATTCCTTAGGAACTCCACAGAGAAGCATTAACCTGTCCTGAAAAAATTTGTCCATTTGTCTCCCTTAAATAGTATTTTGCTTTGCTTTGCTTTGCTTTCAGTATCAATTCAGTGCTCTCATACTGCAATTTGGAAGTAGTTTCTAAAATATATATCCAAGGATTTGATAATTCCATGGTTCTCTTTTTTGGTATGTATGTGTTTAATCGGATGTTGGTATAGCATTGAAGCTGAAACTGGGTTTTTAGACCCCTGGCCCAAACTCTTGGGATCCCACAAGAGGTCTAGCCACTTGCCACTACATGCTATATAAAGAGCAATGGTGAAAGATATAGGAAAGAGATTTATTACATGGCATCCTTGGAAAGTCAGAACCCACCTTTGGGGATACAGATATTGACTCTGGGCTACAAAAGATGAATTGAACTTAGGAGGAGGGAAAGCTAAGCAGAATTAAAACAGTCACAGGTATGGCATGGTTGTCCCTGGTAGTGGATGTTATGCACATTTGGGCTGCTTTCTTCAATATTACCCAAAAAAGGAATTGCCTAGCTCACAGTCACTTCACTTTTTGCCACAGTTGCTTATTGGTGAATCCTTTTCTGCGTGGAACCTATGGTGATCATAAAGGGACTGCAAGAGGAAATTGCTCAGATCCAAAGTGGAGAGCTGAGTGCCCAACTTTTAGTTAACTCATAGGCCCAACAGCAACAGCTTTAAAAAAAATAAATTGTTATTGTAAAGTTAATGTACAGCAGGGTTACCGTCATATAAATCAGGTAATGAGTACATTTCCTTTTGAAAAGTGTCATCTCTTCCCTTGCTTTCTCCCAAGTTTTCCTTCCCAACAACCTCCTACAAGTTCATTTTCAACATAGTGTCTAATGAGTGTCACCGCTGCATTTGTTCACCCTTTGTCCCACCCCTTTTACCCTTCTCACAGTAGATGTCCTTACATACAAAGACAAAAGCTACAGAAAACAAAAACAGCAACAAAGGAGAAAAACAAAACAAAAGGCAAATTAACAAAAAAATTATTTTCAACTTCTTGAAGTTCATTTCGATAAACATCATTTTATATGATCATATGCTCATAGCTATTGAGCCCTTGTGAGCCTCTCCTAATATCCTCCTTTGGTCTCACTGTGTGAATGTCTAGAGTCCTGTATAATTTATCATGTCCAAGTATATTTTTTATCTTTTGCCAGCCAGTGTATTTATTTGTGCATTTATAGGTACATTTTAGTTACAACAAATAAGGGAAACCATGCAACCTGTTTCTTTGTGTCTGGCTTACAACAGCAGCTACTAAGTCACCTCTGACAAAGAAAATTGTATATATTTAGCCTCTAAGTTCAGAGCACTTATGAGAACCATAACATTGCCTAGATAGTGCTTGTGCTTTTGGAAATTTATGCTTATTACAGCGCTGAGATTTTTAGAACATATCTGTAAGACATAATGCCTGACAAAGAAAAGGATGAAAACTAAATGCTTGTGAATTTCCATATAATTTTGTGTTTATCAAATCTTTGGGAATTAGCAGCATTTGTATTGGTTCTTAATGAACGATTTAGAAATGAATAGATGAGAGTTGAAAAAATAGCAAGTAGGAGTAATAATTACAGGTAAGTAAGGCAGTTTGAAGAATATGTACAAGTTTGGGCATCAATGAAGGGTATAAAACTTGACCAAAGTACAGTGAGTATGTGAAATAGAAAACTGATAGTTTTGTGAATGAGTTTAAGCTTAAGTGAATTTTACCAATTGTATTTTTCATATGCTTTAAATTTAATTCTTATCAAGATCTTTTGTTTTGTCAGTTTGAAACTTCTCTCGAAGAATGGTAAGTAATATTCTTGCTCCTTTTAATACTGAGGTTTTTGACCATCTCTAATTGATCAATTTTATTTCAAAAAGAATAGGAAATTGAAAGTAGGATTGTTTACATTAACTATTAAAGCACTTTTTAATATTAGAATCAGGATTGAAAGTGATAGAATAAGGATCTCTAAGGCTCCATTCATACAGGAAACAACTAAGAAGTTGCAAAAAAAACAAAATAAAATCAGTTTGAATTAATGTTTGCAGAAATCTGGAATGTAGTAGAAAATAGAATTCTAAAAGAAAACTTAAATATGCTGCTGTTCTGCATAGGAAAAGCCTTGTAGCATATGTTACCTCCGAGTCAGCTTTCAGATCCCTATCCAAGGTGGCCTGGAAGAGAATATCCCAAGTTTACGATGTTTATTGTTAATGTCAGAGGAAGAATAGCAAACTCCTTAGCAGGGAAATGTATATCAGAATTTTGACCAGTCTGATGACCTCATGAGTAGCTAACACAAAATTACCTTTGTTTTGTTTGAAGTGAACCAATCATAGATCTGGAAGCACGTAAAGGCATTTACTTGTCAAATCACAACAGATATAATCACTGAAATAAACATACTAGGCACATCAAACAGAACTAGAAGAACAGAGGTATGGAGGAAGGGGTTTCAAAGCTTTCAATACATAAGAAAATACACTGTATTTTTAAAAAATAGTTAAAAATGAAAATTAACATTCTAAAAGAAAGATAATCACAGAAAATAGGCTTTTCCACATAAATGGTGAAACAATAAGGATAATATGTTACTATTTGAAATAGGAAATTGAGCCACGAGCCAAGTGGCTCATGCCTGTAATTCTAGATACTCAGGAAGTTGAGGTTTGGAGAACTACCATTTGAAGTCTGCCCAGGCAGAAAAATACACTAGACTATCATCAATGTAACCAGCCCAAAGTACTGGAGGGTGTGTGCATGTGTGTGTGTGTGTGTGTGTGTGTGTGTGTGTGTGTGTGTGTCTGAAGTGGTAGAGGACCAGATGTGAGCAAACTGGTAGGGGAGAGGATGAAATGCTATAAAATAAGTTTGACGTGATATCATGTAACAAAAGAGAATGTGAAATTTTTCTACTAATTGAAAAATAAAGAAAATTGATGCTATTTTAATAGCATCAGCTTGTTAATATACTAGTACTGTATCGCTAAAGAGAATAGATAAATGTGACTTACGTTATATTATTTTTATGTGTGTAAATCACTCTCTTAAATAAGTTGTAATAATTATTGAATAAAAATTAATTTGTAATTGAAAGTATTTTTATATTAAGTCTGATTTTTTTAAACTTCTATCAGTGAAAATTTTTAAAATAATTTCTTAGTTTAGAAATGTAGGTGAGAAATATTTTATAGTACATTTAGAAAGACACTTTAGAAGGTGAATAACATTTTAGTTCAGGCATTTTGTAAAAGCTTGTTAATTTAAGCCTGACATGATAGTTTTTATACTTTGTCATATATATTGATTTCCCAGAAATTGTTAAAGTGAAATTAAAGAATATCTCCTCCTAATTCAATTCTTTTTCTTATAGCAACATTTTTAGCAAGACCAATTTCTTTACACAAAACTGACCAGCTTCTTCGGTAACACATTTTTAGTTTCAATTCTTTTATCACTAAATGCAAATCCTATTTACAATTAATACCCACTAAATATTTAAATATCCATTAGAAGTTTCCTATATTAGTCCCTATGTAGTAGGATTACCAGATACGCTAACATTTAAAATTCCATGAAAGAGTATCACCTTAACTACACCTTTCCTTTGCAAATTGTCTCTTTTATTATATAGGGAAAGAATTGCTTCCAGAAAAGACCTGAAGGAAGATTTGACTATTGTCACACCAGTGAAAGTGTGCAAACCAAAAGACAAAGGTGAATTTGTTCTTTGTACTTAGCTAAAGTGATTATAGTCATCGCATATTGAGTTTTCATTTAATTTCTTTCTAAATTTCACTGTAATTATGCTTATGAGTCTTAATTCTGTTGAGTACTGAATAGACATAAGTCTTCTGTATCATTTAAAGCATCTATCCCCCAAGTACTTACAATGACCATTACGTGCCAGATGCTAGTCTAAGTTTTTCTGTATGATGATCCTTACTAACTGTATTTCAGAGCTGTTGAATGGAGCTTTTTGTAACCATCTGTGCATTATCCTTTATCTGTCCAGCTGGGTAGCTAGTAGTCCTGTATCATCATAGAGCATTCAGATGAGGCCAGTGAAATTGTTTCCCTCCCTCCCTTCCTCCCTCCCTCCCTCCCTTCTCTTTTTCTTTCTTTCTTTTCTTTTCTTTCTTTCTTTCTTTTCTCTCTTTCTTTCTTTCTCTTGCTTGCTTTTTTCTTTTCTTTTTTCTTTCTTTCTTCTTTCTTTCTCTTTATTTCTTTCCCTCCCTCCCTTCCTTCCTTCCTCCTTTCCTGCTTTCCTTCCTTCCTTCTTTCTTCCTTTCTTTTCTTCCATTCTCTCCTTCTTTCCTCCCTCCCTGCTCCCTCCATCTTTCCCCTTCTCTTCCTCCCTCCCTCCATTCCTCCTTCCCTGTTTCCTTCCTTCCTTCCTCCCTCCTTTCCTCCTTTCCTTCCTTCCTCCCTCCCTCCATTCCTCCTTCCCTGTTTCCTTCCTTCCTTCCTTCCTCCCTCCTTTCCTCCTTTCCTTCCTTCCTTCCTTCCCTCCTTCCTTCCTTCCTTCCTTCCTTCCTTTCTTCCTTCCTTCCTTCCTTCCTTCCTTCCTTCCTTCTTTTCTCTCTCTGTCTCTGTCTCTGTCTTATAACCCCTTGATTAAAAATCTGCCTCCAAATTCCATAATCAACATTATAATTGTATTATAATAACTATAATCATATATAAATTTATAAGTAAATTTAAGTATATTTATAAACATGAAAATATATAATATATAAAACATATTTGAAAGAATACAAAACAAATAACAACGGTTTCCTATCCCGTGGATGGGAACCAACATGGGAATATGTGTTTCTATTTTAAGATATAACATGTCCAGAATTAAAGGAAAAAATGAAAACACTGCTGTCAGAGATTATCAAACTCATTCAAAGTCTTGAAACTGACCGGGCCTTAGCAGAACTAGCTTTAAAGCAACAAAAGTCAAGAAGGAAAAGGATTAGCATGAGAATTGACTCTTGGTCTATCTGGAAAATTCAAGAACTTCCATTAGCTGTGCAGAAAGGTAATTTTCAATATTGCCATTTTCTTTTTTAGAAGAGCACAGGCAATCAACTATAGCTCTGAATACAACAATTAACTGAATGATTTCAAAGACTGTATTTTTCTTACAAACCAGGAAACTTTGGACTGATGGCATTAATTGTAATGTTCTGTCCACTCTGCAGAGCACACCTGGGTTTGCTGTCATTGTAAATACCATGAATTCATGATACCCCAGGGACATTCAAATGTATAGCACATGTTTCTTGTGATGAAGACAGAATTCTAGTTATTAGACATTTAGAAATTTAAAATAATTAACAGTTGGCATTATTTAGACACATTTTTAACCATATGAAAATTGAGTTTTAGGTGTCATGCTGAGAACTGGCATCTGGGAATTTAGAAATAAATTTACTGTAAAAAGATATTCTAGCAGGAATAGAACTTTAAAAAGTTATCTGAGTCACACAGAATAATACATGTTTAAAATGAAAACGTTGTCTTTTAGACCACAGAGTGAAGAATCTAAGGTAAAATTTATAATGTAATGGTAAAGAATGTTTAGTTCTGTACCTATCAAAACATTCCTGATAGGTTGGAGGCATGCTCAAGTGGTAGAACTCTTGCCTAGCATGCATGAGGCCTTGGGTTTAATCTGGCTTTATATGTGTGTGTGTGTGTGTGTACATATATATATAATTCATAACTGAATTATAAACAGTATATATAAAGAGAACTACAGATGTATTTCTTTGATGAACATTGATGCAAAACTTCTCAATAAAATTCTGGCCAATCAATTTCAATAATTTAAAATATATACATTGTAATCAAATAGGATTCATTCCAGGGATGGTTCAATATACTCTAGTCAGTAATGTAATTCAACACATCAGTAGAAGCAAGGACAAGAACCACATAATCATCTCAATAGATGCAGAAAAGGCATTCAACAAGACCAACACCTCTTTATGATGAAAGCTTTAGGAATCCATGGAACATTCCTCAATATAATAAAGGCTGTATATGACAAGCCTACAGACACCATTATACCTAAGGATGAAAAGTTAAAACCATTTTCTCTGAAATAAAGAGACTCTTTGTACTGAAGGCTGGCACTGTACACAGAATCACTTCTGGCTTTTTCTGATTAGTTTATTAGAGATAAGAGTCTCATGAACTTTTCTGCCCAGGCCGGCTTTGAACCATGATCCTAAGATCTCAGGCTTCTGAGTAGCTAGGATTACAAACATGAACCACTGGCACCTGGCTTATGTTTATTTTTGAAGATGTCTTTCTTGTTTTTTTGGTACCCAAATCTCATTTTGTCCTTATCTTTCTCCATCTAGAACATGAGGCCTATATGAAAGATACTATGGAATTACGATGGCACCTTCAAGATAAAGGCCATCAAGCAGAATATCTTAGGAAACGGAAGAATAGGTTTGAAGAAGCTAATGCAAAGATTGAAGAAGATATTAAACTAATGGTTGAAGGTTCTTTTCTTCTCAAAACAAAGCAGGAGCAGGAACATGAAGCTCTCAAGGAGCAATATATTAAAAAATATGAGGTAAATGAGTAAATGAATAAGGGATATGTATTTTACCTATTCTTATTTAGTTATGCACAATATTTCATATATAGGAACATATTTCCAGTTTTCATTTTTACTCAAAATTGACTTGCTATTTATGTTAAGATGACAATTTATTAAACTATGCACCTTATAATTTAGTGGTAGTCATTTTAACTATATCTATTTCGCATACCTTTATACCTATGAGAGTTAATATAATTAATCAATCTATTAATCAAATTTTGTGACTGAAATAGCCTAGCATATATATATATGCATACATATGTATATATACACATATGTATATCATATGTTTTTCAAGTTCTGGGATTGAACTTAGGGACTGGGTGCTGTCTCTGGGTTTCTTTTGCTCAAAGCTAGCACTCTGACATTGGAACCGCAGTGTCATTTCAGGCTCTTGTGTATTTTATTGGAGATAGAGTCTCAAGGACTTTCCTGCCTGGGCTGGTTTCTCTGATCTCAGCCTCCTGAGTAGTGAGGATTATAGGCATGAGTCACCGGCACCCAGAACTGGCATACATTTTTTCTGGGGGGGGGGGGTCCGGTCGTGGGGCCTGAACTCTGGGCCTGGGCGCTATCCCTCAGCTCTTCAGCTCAAGGCTAGTGCTCTATCACTTGAGCCACAGTGCCACTTCCTGCTTTTTTGTTTTTGCTTATGTGGTGTGAGGAATCGAACCCAGGGCCTCATGCATGCAAGGCAAGCGCTCTACCACTGAGCCACCTTCCCAGCCCACTCGCATATTTTTTGTGTGAATATTGGGACACAAAATCAAGGCTTCATGTTCTTGTTTGGATTTTTGCTTTGTTGTTCTTGTTGTTGTTAGTGTTGGAGTTCTAACACTTGAAGGACATCTTCACTTTCTGGCTTTTTCTGGCTAATTGGAGAGAAGAGTCTCACAGACTTTTCTGCCTGAGGGGGCTTTGAAATGTTATCCTTAGATTTTAGTCTCCTGGGTAGCTAGGATTATAGTCATGAGTCACCTAAAGACTGGCAAAATAGCCCGACATTTTTAGTGCTATAATTGAATTGAAGGAGAATATATTTATGATATATCATTGATGAAGATAAATGAAAGAGTTTTTTCTGATTAACTAACATTTACTATGCTCTTATACTAGAGAAAAATAGTGTATGCACATGTGTCACAAAAAGAACAAATTTAAAATTTTAATTATATCAACTGTATAGAGTTTTACTTTAATAGACAACTAAATAATTTCAAAAGTGTACATTTAAAACTAAAATGATACATTTTAAGGTCAAATATAGAAACAAAGGGCACATGTTTTCTCTTATAGCTGCAAGTTAGTTGTAATTTATAAATATAAGTAAGCATAAACAGAGCCATTTGCACATGTACACAAACATTTTAACTGAAGTATGGTTTATGCAGGGGGGAATTAAAATAGTACAATTCCTTAGAAAACTCATAATCTAATGAAATGAGTGCCAGGAAGCTGTAACTTGAATCATGGTGAGGGTGTAGATGAATGAAGAGAAGAAAGGGAGAGAATTCAATCATAATATTCACTGTATATTCTATAAAGCTAGCAAAATAGAAGGAATGGGTTGGGTTGGGAGGGCTAGGGAGAACAATAATCAAGGAACATTGTGCTAAGAAACTTACATGATGAATTGTAACCCTCTATAAAACTTTTTACAGATAAAAATACCATTTAAATAAAATAAGAACATATTAATGAGCAAAACAATATTTAATATATATAGAAATACATATGTGTATACATAGACATATTTATGTATATATAGACATACATATGTTTGGATATAGATATAAATATTTGCTGTTTAACATACAGTTTAACCATATAACAATTTAACAATAAGCAGAAACTATTCCATGATGAAAAAAACTTTCATCCTTCATGAAAGACCTTATATTTGACGGTGTATAATAATGCGATTCAATCTAGCCTATAAAGAAAAATAATTTCATTATTGTTTTAAAAACTCAGTCTATCGAAAAGAAGAAAAAAATTTAATGAGGCTGAGATGCTTCAATATCATCATCTTTTGCAAATTGTGCACAATTTGCTAAAATACATAGAGAGACATCTAAAGATTTTATGTGACAAGGACTATTTAACAATTATGCTTATCTTTCCCCTTCTCCCCTAATCTAAGCTCATGTCTGTTTGCTGAAGGTGGCTGAAGTTAGGCTGAAATGTGCACTTTGCTTGTTCCTATTGTTGCCCATGCCATGTAATAAAACCTTTCAGCCCTTCACCATCATTTACCTCCATATATTTTATGTTGAGGCAAGTGGCCCTAGATCTCATGATGAACACCAGATGTTTGGGTGTGGAAGCAAAAACCCAGATCTCAGGGGTATAAACATGTAAACTTAGTAATTTGGGAGATGTGAAGAAGGATGGAGAGTTTGAGGCCAGCCTGAAGTATGTGGAGTACCTGTCTTAAAAAAAAAAAAACAACAAGCAAACAACAACAACAACAAACAGCCTGAGAGGGAAGATGATCAGGAGGGGAAAAACTGGGAGAAAATGAAGGAGAGGGTGACACTGTTCAAAAGAAATGTACTTATTATCTGACTTATATAACTATATCCCCTCTGTACATCACCTTTACAATTGAAAAATTAATACAATCTAGCATTTGACACAGAACAAAAATTTTTAAAAAGAGCCAAAAGCTGGTAAATACAAATAAACTTCCTGTAAGTAATAATAATAAACTATATCACAACAGTTTCTAACATTTGTATTAATCATTGCAATGTTAACATCATTTCAAGTAACTGTGATGTAGAAACAAATCAGATAACTTTGATACCTGCACCATCGAGACTATTGCTGCTCGATTCTCATAGCAAAATTATGGAAACATACCCAACAATAGATGAATGGATCAAGAAATTTCATATACATGAATATGTGAATTCATATATATGAATATATGTAGGAATATATTAACATATTATCATTTTATGAAAATTGTGATTTTTTTCATCCATCAGGAAGAATATTATTTGTTGAGGTGGATAGACTTGGAAAAAATTATGTTGAATGAAGTAAGTCAGTCTCAGAAAGACAAAGGATATATGTTTTCTAAATTATATGGAAGTTTAATGTAAATTATAAACATACATGAAAACACATAGGGCCATATATATATATATATATATATATATATATATATACATATATATATATATATATATATATTCAATCAAACTCCTTAAAGCATAGTATAGATAGGGGTGGATTCCCATGGTATAACTTCTTTGAAGAAGTAACAGAAAGTTTAAAACAGATGGAATGAAAACCAGGAAGCTGACACATGCTTTGTTTGAGGTATATGGTTTTTAAGGTATATGGAGAGAGGAATGGTGGGCTAATTCATTTTTATCAATCAATTAAAATAGATGGAAATGGAACTAGGTAACTTGAGGGAGTGGGTGGGGTAAGGTTAGATAGAAGGGGTAAATGATGAGGGGGTGACTCTGATCAAGATACGTTGTACTCAGACTGACAAGTTGTATTGAAACCCCTTTGTACATCTATTTAAAGATAATAATTAATTTTACAACCTATCATATATTCTGGGAGGAAAATAAAGAGACCATTACCTCTTTGTGAGAGACATTTTAAGATGAAATATTTCCTGTACTATAAAATTTGTGGAGGAAACATTTTTTTTGGTCAAGTTGAAAAATAAATTTAAAGGAAAACATGTTGAAAAGCATTTTGGCATTTAATGTTCTTCTGTACTAACATTCTGTTGGGCTCTTCTGAAGAATAATTTGACAACCAATATTTATGAAGTCCTTACCTTGAACTTTTAAGAATGCATTTGAGAGCTGGACATCAGTGGCTCATGCCTAGAATCTTAGCTACTCAGGAGGTGGAACTCTGAGCATCATGGTTTGATGCCAGATTGGGAAGGAAAGTCAGTGAGACTCTCATCTCCATTAAACTATGAAAAAAATAGCTAGAAATGGAGCTGTGGCTCAAGAAGTAGTGTGACAGCCTTGAAGCAAAAGAACCGCAGGGACAGAGTCCAAGCCCTGATTTCAAGACCCAGGACTGACACCAAAAAAAAAAAAAATCAGGGGCTGGGAAGGTGGCTCAGTGGTAGAGCACTTGCCTTGCATGCCTGAGGCCCTAGGTTTGATTCCTCAGCACCACATAAGCAAAAAGAAAAAAAGCCAGAAGTGGCGCTGTGGCTCAAGTGGTAGAGCACTAGCCTTGAGCTGAATTGCTGAGGGACAGCGCCCAGGCCCAGAGTTCAGGCCCCACTACCGGACCTCCCAAAAAAATCAGACAAGGGCCTAATATCTAGAATATACTTAGAGCTCAAAAAATACTCAAAAAGTAAATTCTCACTGAGATAAAATCCAATTAGAACTTAAAGACAGATTTCTCAGAAGTAAGAATGGCAAATAGGCCCATGACACAATGCTCAATAGCTCTGATTCTAACAGAAATACAAATCTAAACAACACTGACATTTCACGTTACTTCAGTTCTGATGGTCATTATCAAGAAAGTAAACACAGAAAATACTGGCAAGGACTTGGCCATAATGGGTCTCTAACACAATGTTGATTGCAGTGCATGCTTATTCATCCACTCTGGAAAACAGTATGCATGTTACATAGAAAAATAAGCATAGAACTACCCCCATGACTCAGCAATCTCACTCCTGGGCATTTATCAAATAGAATACAAAGTTATAGCAAAGTCATCAGCACAACCATGTTCATTGCAGCACTATGCACCATAGCCGATGTATGGATCAGCTCAGATGGTCCTCAGTGGATGAATGGACCAAGAAATTATGGTATATATACACAGCGGAATTCTACTCATCCATTAGAAAAATGATATTGTATCATTTATAAGCAAATGGAAAGTCTTGGGAAAATTAAATGCAGTAAGTGAAAACAAGAGAAACAAAAGTTTCATGGTTTTCTACATTCATTCATGGTAGATAGAATGTACCTATAAATCTACACGTAAACACATGGGGATGGGCCATATGCAAATGATTACAAATGAATTAAATGAAGTATAATGGCCTCCAAGGAGAGCTCAGTAGTATAATCTTTTACAAGATTACCAAGGGGAGAGAGGTAGGCAAATAAAGAGCAAAAGGAGGTAGATAATACAGTTAATTCATTGTTTTTGATACATTGTTTAGAAAAGTATGGCAATAAGTGGGTCAAAGGGGGGGTGAGAATGTTTATGAATAGAGTGTGTCTTGATCAGGGCAACTGATCAAGACGCACTCTATTCATAAACTGTTTGTTATATGGCACCTCTTCTGTGAAAATACTTAAAGATAATAAAGTAAAATATGCATTTGTAGAAAATATTAAAGATTAGGCAATTTTCATATAAGTTTCTTACCATAATAATGTTTGCATTCTGTTTCCCTCAAAATGTTGTGCACATCTTGTTGAAATAAGGTACTTATGATTGGTGACAAACTGTGTAATGGATGATATTATGAACTATGTATCATATAATGTAACGATGCAAAAATAGTGTGATTAGGATAAATAGATAAATAGGGAGAAAGAAGGGAGAGATGAAGAGGGAAATGATAATGTTTATATTTATTAATGTAGTTGTTGAAAGAAAAAGATTTTAGATACTCTAAGCTATTAATAGTACTAGTACAGGCAATTTATTAATTTTATGTTTGTTTTGATGTTTTCTGCCATAAAATATTAATTACACAATAAATATATAACAGTGCACAATGTTTTGTAGGTGAAAATTTAATGATTTTATTTTTGGATGTGCCAGCCAGGCTATTAAAACAATTAACTTTTATACATCTTTACAATTTTTGTCTATAGTGGTAAAGAATCCTATATATCAACTCTGTTTTCTCAGCAGTAACACTTTAGTATAATAATATGAGAAGAAAATGTATGTTAAGATCTTTTTATCCAAAATATATGTGTTAATAAAATTATTTCTTTAAATTAGCCACGATGAAAATACATATATTAACAAAGATATTTATCATTTCTAGGTATTGGAGAAACTTAATAAAGTTAATGTAGAACTCCAAGAATCTAAAAAAGAATATGAACACTCCAAATTGGAGCTTGAAAAAAAGAAAGTAACCATGGAAAAATCTATTGCTGATGAACAATTACACATGGAGACCTTCAAGTAAGCACTATCCACATTTCTTCTTATAGCATTAAGAAGGTATTAATGATACTGGGCCCTGGTTTCTCACATCTGTCATCCTAGCTACACAGGAAGCTAAGATCTGAGAACAGAGGCTCAAAGCCAGCCCGGGATGGATTTATAAGACTGTTTATCTTTTACACTGGCAATGCCACACTTTTTTCATCTCTGTCTTTTATAATAATTTAAGTAGTAGGTAGAATGATTATTCACCCTTTTATTCTTCAAACTCTATTCAAGTTTAGTAGATTAAGGAGACTGATGAAATTTAAACTACCAGTGAAGACAAGTATGATATCACACACACACAATGATAACACACACACACACACACACACACACACACACACACACACAGAGAACATGAAGTGCAGGGAAACACAGCATGACTTGTCAGAATTTTAGAAGCTAGGGAGTCAATGAGAAAAAGGCCATCTCAGTCTTGAAAATTAATCTATTGCTTTGGTTCTGTTCACTTATTTAAGATTAATCTTTCTGTAAGTGACATCTTTGCTTTTTATCTTGAAAGTATATTGTAGAATTGTTAGAATTTTAGAGTTGACAACTCAGTCCCCTAGCATCAAGCCGTGGAGTCTAATTTAGCTCTGTTATCATCATTTTCTGATGAAGTTAATGTTATCAACTTCTAATTTTTTGAGGATTTATTTTTTTCTGGGTTATGGGACTTGAACATAGGGCCTGGGTGCTGTATCTGAGCTTTTTCACTTAAGGCTAGTACTCTACTGCTTTGAGCCACAGCACCACTACTGCTTTGAGCCACAACACCACTTCCAGTTTTCTGATGGTTAATAAGAGATAAGAAATGAGAAGAACACAGCTGAAATAAGGAAAGCAACTCCTTTTGTAAGAGCCCCACAAAAAATAAAATACCTAGGAATTAACTTACCTAAAAAGCTGAAGGACCTCTATGATGAAAACTTTAAAAACCTGAGAAAGGAAATTAAAGCAGAACTTAGGAAGTGGAAAATCTTCCCGTGCTCCTGGATAGAGAGGACTAACATCATGAAAATGGCAACACTGCCAAAGGCTAGCTACAAATTCAGTGCAGGCCAGCCCAGGAAAGGGTAGTTTAAAAACAAGCATCCAAGCCAGGGACATTATGGTGCACACTTGCTTCCACATTGATTTGCAAGATTTTATTACATATTTTTTTCTCATGTGCTAGATGCACAACAAAAAAGATGTAATAATAGAGGAAGAACTACTTGGGAAGTAGAAGGTTTCCTGTGAGAGGAGAGGAACAAGAGAGGAAAATGGGCATGCAAAAATATGATTAAAGTACACTATATACATATATGTCATAATGAAATTCATTATTTTATGTAAGCAATATATGCTAGTTAAAAAGACATACGTTTCAAAATAAGTAAAATATTTTCTAGACTTAATCTGACAATAATTTGGAGTTATCTGTATTATTTTCTGAAAGCTTATGAAAATGACAATTTTAAAGACAGGCAGGGGAGATATCCTGTGCCTGTAATTTCACCCAGGCAAGAACCGATGCAAAAGAATCTCAAGCTTAAGGCCAGCCCAGGAAAGGGTAGTTTAAAAACAAGCATCCAAGCCAGGGACATTATGGTTTATGCCTATTATCCTACCCCTTTATCCTGAGATCTGAAGATTGTGATTCAAAATCAGCCAGGACAAGAATTTGTGTGAGACTCTTATCTCCAATATACTACAAAAAAAAAAAAAAAAAACCCTGAAAGTCTTGAGGGAAAAACAAAGTAAGGATGGGTCCATGGTTCATGCTGATAGCCCCTGCTATCCCAGTAGTGAAGAGGTAGAGATATGAGGATTACAATCTGATATTAGCCAAGGCAAAAAGCCTAATAATCTTTCTGGAAAATAACAGCCAAAAGGTCTGAAGGCTTGGCTCAAGTAGTAGAGCATCTGCCTCGAAGGTGGAAGCCTTTGGTTCAATCTTCTGTGTAGCCAAAATAAGAAAATGTAAAGTAAATATCTCTTTTCCTTTTCTCGTCATGATTTTTAACATTAAAAAAAAATCTCTCTGTCTCTCTCTCTCTCTATCTCTGTCACTTTCTCTGCCTTTCCATTACTGTGTTTGCCAACTTCTAAATCACAGGTGCTCATATTCTGTTTCCAAAAATAAAATTAAAAGGTAGTTTGCTTTTTTAAAAAACTTTAAATTTTCTCAGTTCTTTTCCTTTTGAAACATAAAAACTACTTGCGATTACTTTCTGCTTATTCATCCTGATTCTAAGAGGACTTTTTGAGAATTGGGAAGTATTACAGGAGAAAATAGTATTAGGGATAAAATCCATTGATTCATTTTAAATCAGAAGCCAACTTCTTTTTCAATGTGGATCAAATCAACTGTTTTCCTCCCAGGAAAGAAATAGAACAACTCTCGGATCTATACACTCACTACACTACATCAATACATGATGTTAGCGTAGAGATGAAGACCAGTGAAGAAACGCTGATTGAGATATTGAAGGAATCATTGTCAGTCACCAGTATTGCATCTGACTTAAAGAAAAAGGTGAGTGTTTTCATATTTTTTAATGCTGCTGTTACCTTTGAGCTATAAGAACTAAATTTTCTCTTCTAACAATTAACTAACACTTAGCCAATTTTCTGCCTATAGTTGTGTGTACTGTAGCATAGCAAATTAAAATGGACTTAGCAGCTAAACATATTAGCCATTTAGAATCTCAGCCTCAATGTTTGACCTCCTGAAGCCTGGGCTTTTTAGCATGGCTCAACTGGCAAGCCTGCGATCAAGGTACCAATATCCTTATGTTTCTTTCAATGGCTTTGTGATGAATCTGATTTCAGATTGGCCTAGCAAGAATGATGTTCCTGAGTTCTATCATTCATGTTTGACCGGATTCAGTCCCTGTGGTCTTCTGACTGAGTTCCTTGTGGTCTTAGTGGTCACCTATCTGAAATCTATTTATAAGCAGTCCACATAGGCCCTGGCCTCTGCTCTGAAGTCAAATATGGTTTGCTGACTTTTTCCTTCTCATGCTTGGAACTACTTTTATTTTCCACTAGGACTCATCTCTCCTGACAATGAGTCTGCCAGATCTGATTCACTGCTCTAAAGGAGATAAGAAGATAGCAAAGACACAAAAGGAGAAAGAGACAGAAAGAGAGAGACAGAGACAGAGAGACAGCAGGAGGAAAGGAGGAAGGGAGGGAGAGGGGATACTCAGGGCTGGGATGGGGCACAGTAGCAAATCACTCACTTAGAAATGTCCTTGGCTTGATTCCCAGTATCAGAATAGAGAAGAAACCTCCCACCCCCGCAAAATAAAAGACAGCCAATTCCTGCGACCATGTGTATCTTACAAAACAGGAAAAAGACCTTTTTTAATTCACATTCTAATATTATTTCTGTATGCTTTTTTTAGACTATAAGGTTTAAGGACACAGAATATACTTTTTTTAATTTCTGAAAATTTGCCCAAGATTTGTATCATATTAAGGACTCAACTAATGCTTATTGAATAAGAAATGTAATTAACAAATAGACTAAAGAAATAAAAAGAAAGAAGAGAAGGAGATAGGGAAGAAAGAAAAGAAGGACATGTAGGGGTGGGTAATGTGTGGTATCGGCACCTGTTGAGCCGGGTGAAATGGAGTGAAGTGGGTGCTAATACACCTAATCCTTGAAGTTGGAAAGGGACACATGTTGTTTTCCAAAACACCTAGTTCCTTGTCAGAGACTATTATTAGCATGAGTAAAATATATTATGCTTAATAAAAATTTTATAATAGGGTTATCAAATAGTTATAGCTTCAATTTGTGAATCGTACTGAAAATTTTCAATACAAATATCCAGGGAAAATATCACCATTAAACAAAGTATTTTCAATTAGAAAAAACTATGTACTAAACTTGTCATCTTTTAAAAAAACTATATTCTCTAACTGGCAAATCTGGTTTCTCATCGTTTGATGTCATAGCTAAGGAATTGTGCCTGCATTTATTAAGTTATTAATATTTGTAAGTTATATAAATTGTTTGGGGATTATCATACTTTCTAGTGAAGATAAAAAGATGATGGCATTTAAAGGTATTAATTCCTCTGTTACTCGTTCATTATAAAAACCTATTAAGCTACATTTTCAGAGTACATCTTAAGGACTCAATTAAAAGCAATCATGTGCATTAGTGTCATGGATTAATTTTTTATGCAGTTGAAACTTCTGATTTAACAGAAAAATAAGATTTGTGCTGATTGGGTGTGCAACTTAACTAATACTTTAAAATTTCAAAGCATATGTTGCTTCCAATTTAGTTTTTACCTCTAAAACGATGTATCTATCTGTAGAATAGAGGTACCTATTTAAAAAGATACACGTTTTTCTTAATTTGTACTGTCCAGAGATTTATGAAAATCTCTCTGTGTATTTGTCTCTGTTTTTTGTCCGTCTCTCTGTGTATCTCTCTCTTTCTCTCTCTTATCAGTTGTGTGGCTTGAATTCAGGGCTTGGGTGCTGTCCCTGAGTCTCTTTGTGCTCAAGGCTCATTAGTACTCTACCACTGGAGCCACAGCACCACTTCTGGTTTTTGAGTGGTTAATTGGAGATAAGAGTCTCAGGGGGAATTTTTCTGCCTGGGCCAGTTTAGAACCATAATCCTCTGATCTCAGTCTTCTAAGTAGCTAGGATTACAGGTGTGAGCCACCTGCACCTACCTGTTTTTCTCTTTTTATATAAAAAATAGCTTTGGTAAACCAGAAGCTTCTTAAAACTGATTATGCACTTTAAAAACTGTCAAGATTAAATTTGTTGTAATGTATAAACATATGAATTTTGGGTAAGATTATTCTTTCCTTCATCGGAATTGTTTTAGAAAATTTTTATCTGAAATTAATTTTTCTGTGATAAAAATAATCATTCATCTATAATTATTTATAATTTATAACTAGTTAAATAGTAGCAACATTATAAATTTTAGAAATATTTGCCATTTATATTTCATTGAGCAATGAAATAGATATACAGAAATAGATGTTTTAAAAATCTTTGCCTTCTGTAAATAACTGGATTCATTTGAAGCCAGCCCAGGCAGGAAAGTCTGTGACACTCTTATCTCTAATTAACCACCAAAGAGCCAGAAGTGAGGCTGTGATTCAAATGAGAGAATGCTACCCTTGATCAGAGAAGCTCAGGGGTAGTGCGTAGAACAGTCAGGCACAGTGCAGGCCCCCAGAACAAAAACAAACACAAGCAAGCTGGTGTATTCATATTTTTTATATTTATACTGCTAGTGGAAGACTAATTTTTATTACTTTCTTACTAGCCTACACAATTTATATAATAGAAAACATCAATTCAACTATGCCTTTTACTTAAGGTAAAATAATAATATTATTAATAACAATTCATCAAATAGGACAGCTGCCTGGATAGCCAGAGTAATTTTTTCACAGAAACAAAGATAATAATGATAGATACCTATGACAATCCAATATTGTGGACTATGAAAACTATGATTTCATTATACAATATTTCTCAGTGTTTTATAGGTACAACATGATAGTACATATTTCAAACTTTTTATCAGATGATCAAAAAATTTATGTGTATGTTTTATTGTGATATGTAAAACATATGTGTTATATATTATATGGTATATATGATATTGATATTTTAAATGATCTGTATAAAATTGGCTTTTTATGAATTTTTCTCTTATTTAAAAGGAGTACTTAATGTTGGTGTTGGTTTCATACAATTTCTCAGTTTCATGTTAAACATTTTTAAATATACCCTGGTTATAAAAGTTCTTTAGTAGCAATGAATGCTGACTTTTAGAATTTGATTAGTGGGCATCTCTGATGGTGAGTTTATTTGACCTATTGAAATGATGTATGATATTAATATAATAACCATTTTAAATTCATTGGATGAACTCTATTTGGTTATGGTTTATTGTTCTTTTAATTTACTGCTGTGTTTAATTTGCAAGCATTCCTAAGATTCTGCATCCATATTTATAAGTGACTTTGCATTTTTTGTTCTTAATTTATACTTTTTGATAGATTTCTCTTATCAGGATATGTCTAAATTTATAACATAAACTTTGAAAGATTTTAAATGTACATTTTAATTTTTTCTTGAAAAATCTAGTAAAACACTGGTAAAAATACAGCTGTTTTTCATTATTTGAATTATTATTTTATAGGGCAAGTATTTAATCAGTTGTTAATTGTATTAGTTATATATTTCTTCTTTAATCTATTTTATATTTTTCCATGGTCCAAGAAATAATATAAATGAATTAAACATTTCGTATTCCCATAGTATGATATAGAATATGTATCCTTGTATTTATCTATTTGTAATTTTGCTTATTTTTCTTATTGAAACAATATTTCTTATTGAAACAAGAGTTTCAAATATTTTTCAACAAGATAATCGCTTTTAGATTTAATATTTCTGCACTTAATATTTAGATTTAATATTTCTTATACTTATATCTCTGAAATTTATTATTCTTTCTTGTTGCTTTTGGCTTATTTTGCTGCTTATTTTTTGCTTCTCTATTTGAATACTGAAATATATGTATATGAAATTGTACACATATAGGAATGGGTATGTGAATAACACTTAAAAAAATATGATGGTTCCATTTGTCATTGACATTTTCTTCTACCTCTTTGAAGGACATTTCTGTGTTCACTGCCTCTAGTGTCTCTCCCTTGCAGTCTCAGTTAAGATCCTTTCAAATGGGCTTTTTCACTTCCGTTCTGCTGAATTTACTTACAAAACTCATAAAATCTGTTGGGAATATTTACACAGAAATGAAGTAAAATTATTTTAAGACAGGATCTATATTGTGGTTTGAACTCAGAGCCTCTCACTGGTGCTCTATCAGCTGTGCTAAATCTTCAGCCCTTAAGGCATGTTTTGAGTAGTGCAAGTACTTAATGTTCATTCCTCAGCGTTTACAATACATTCAAGTGAATAAAAGAAAATACTGATCTATATATGTATATATATATATATATATATTTATGTGTGTGTGTAGCTACTGTTATTTTAGTTTATAACACATAAGCCTTGTATTGGAATTTCTGTGTTTAATGCATGCAGCCACTGATGGCACATTTCTCCTTATGCAATATAAAAACTTATATCAGGATCATCCTACATTTCAAATGTAATTTTAACAGCTGGGAAGTTTCTTAAACTTGCTATTGAACGTTTATGGTGGTTTCAACTTTAATGATTGCTATGTTAAGTAATGAAGTACTTTAGTATGTAAGCAGTTATTGTAAATTTAAGTATTTTTAATTCAAATTTAAGTAAAATTAAGTATTATAAGTTTAAGTATCATAAATGCACATTTCCATCCCCTCTCTCAGGTCTCTATGTCCTCAACACTGGTTGTCATGCCCAAAACATTCCGCCCATCTCACACCCAGGCAATTCATGATTCTTGAACGTCGATATTCCACTTAGAAGAGATAATGTGCCAGATTTGCTTTTTTTCTGGCTTATTTCATCTAATATGATAAATTCCAACTCCACACTTTTACCTGCAAACAATAATTTCATTTTGCTTTGTTGCTAAATAATGCTCTATTATGCTTCCATACAACCTTTACTTTTTCCATTCATCAGATGATAGGGAACTGGGATGACACCATAGCTTGCCTTCTGTGAGAAGTGCGGCTATAAATATGCTATGCAAGTATCTCTGCTGACTGACATTCTTCTGAATATATGACAGAATTAAGATCATAAGATAGTTCTAATTTTAGCTCTCTTTTCTTTTTTTTCTTTCTTTTGTTGTTGTTGTTGTTGTTGTGGGGCTTGAATTCTGGGCCTGTGCTCGGTCCCTGAATTCTTCAGCTCAAGACAAGCACTCTACCACTTGAGCCACAGCACCACTTCAGGTTTTCTGGTGGTTAATTGGAGATAAATGTCTCATGGACTTTCCTGCCCTGACTGTCTTTGAACCGCAATTCTCAAATCTCAGCTTCCTGAATAGCTCCATACTGACTTCCCTAATAGGCTATTTGTTGCATTTACCAATTGTTTCTAAATTAAGTCTGTGCATTTTGTTTTCTGTGTCATAGAGCAGAGTTGTGAAAGCATCTTCTCAGCTTAGTGGTTAATTAATGATTAGTCATGAGCCTCAGAGGTGGAGAAACAGCGAGTCTCCCTTCTGTGCTGATGCGCTCCGCGTGCACGCTGAGACAGACACACAATACTCAGCAAGGTAACTGACATCTCCGCCTTAGTTTCCACTTCCTGCTTTCATGCCGCATGAGTGTCTATCACAAGCCTATACGGGAGGTATTTTCACAGCGTTAAGCATTTCTTCATAAGTCTATAGGCCATTCTTATTTCCTTGGCAGAAGTCTCTAAGTCTTTAGCCCGCTTATTAATGGGTCAGTTGTTTCTTTGAGGGTATGTTTTAGGAAGGTTTAATTTTTTGAGTTCTAAGTATATTTTAAATATGAGGCCCTTGTCTGTTGTATGGCTAGTGAAGATCTTTTCCCAGTCCATGGGCTTTCTATTGATCTTACCAGCTGTGTCCTTTACTGTGAAGAAGCGCTGCAATTTCATGCAATCCCATTTGTTCAACCTTTCTTTGATTTGTTGTGTTTCTGGGTCTTTGTTAAGAAAATTTCGACCTGTGCCAAGGAGCCCTAGAGTGTCTCCTATTCCTTCCTATAATGTTTTTCAGGGTGTTTGCTTTGACTTCAAGATTTTTGGTCCATTTGGAGTTGATTCTGGTGCAGGATGACATATGAGGATCTAGCTTTAGTTTTCTACAGATGTTTAGCCAATTTTGCCAGCACCATTAACTGAAGAGGCTGTCTTTTTTTCCATTCTATTTTTTAGCTCCTTTATCAAAGATTAGGTGGCTATAGGTCTGTGGGTTCATTTCTGGATCTTTAGTTCTATTCCATTGGTCCTCGGGACTGTTCTTGTGACAGTACTAAGTCACTTTGATCATTTGATTGGCTTTGTAAAAAGAGTTTGAAGTTTGGTATTGATATTTCTCCAGCACTGTTCTTTTTGCTAAGGATTGTTTTTGCTATTAGGGGTCTTTTATTGTTCCATATGAATTTTTGGGTTGCTTCTTCTATGTCATTGAAGAATGAGGTTAGGATATTGATGGGTATTTTATTGAATTTGTAGCTAGCCTTTGGCAGTATTGCCACTTTCACGATGTTAATTCTCCCAATCCAGGAACATGGAAGGTTTTTCTACTTCTTTAGTTCTGCTTTAATTTCCTTTTTTAGGTTTTTAAAGTTTTCATCATAGAGGTCCTTCACTTCTTTAGGTAAGTTAATTCCTAGGTATTTTTTTTTCCTGTGAGTGGGGCTGTTGCAAAAAGAGTTTCTTTCCTGATTTCAGCTGCCCTCTTCTCCTTATTGGCATACAGAAAAGCCATTGATTTGGGGCGGGTTAATTTTATACCCTGTTTTTCACTGGAATTCTTCTCAAGAACTAGATTCTAAGAATGTACTTTCTCATGGAATTAAATAAAATACTTAAACACATTATATGAGGCAGACCTCTAGTTTTCCACTGTGGTATTTATTTACTACAATTACAAAAATGCCGTGCTATACTATAGTAGTGTTATAGGGTATTTAGAATTTGGTAGCAAGTTTTCAACATTAATTTTATTTGTATATACCGCAGAGCTGTTTTGTATTGTTTATCTTCCATCAAGTTTGTGTTATACAAATCATAAAGAGATATTTCATTTCATCATATTTTTATATTAATTTTGGGAGAACTGACTTTTGTTACTATTAAAACTTCCAGTTACATACCATCCTGTTCATGTGGGTCTTGATGTAGCCTTTTAATAACAGATTTGTGTTTATTTTTATAGGCTATTCCTTTTTATTAAACTTATTCCAAAATATTTTATAATAACAATACTTTTATAATTACTATGTTTCAAAACTGATAGTAATACTTATTGGTTATTATCCTTATCCCAGCCTTTTCACAAAAATAATTTATTATACTTTCAGTTAGGAACTTTTGTTTCTTTAGATATCTAATCCTGTCATTTAAAATTGAACACTAGGTACAGTTGACTCACATCTGTAATCCTAGCTATTCAGGAGGCTGAGATCTGAGGATTGTGGTTTAAAGCTTGCCTGCATAGAATAGTCCGAGACTCAATCTCTCCAATGAACCAGCAAAAACCAGTACTGGTGACATTTTTCAGGTGATAGAGTACCAGTTACCCTGAGTAAGAAAGCTGAGTGACATCACATTGCTTTCAGTCAAGTCCTAGTATTAGAACAAAATAAGTTGAAGATATATTATTTATAAGTATATTAGTTTTTGACCCAGTTGTTTTCAGGCAATCTCTCACAAAAAAATGACACAATATATTGGTAGTAAATGGTCATATATATTTAAAAAATTAAGCCTAATAGATATGATTAAGTATTTCAAAAAATTTTGAGATCTATGTAGTTCCTTCTATTTGAGTTGCTTATCCTTATGGTAGTTTAAAAGCATGTGGATAACGAGTTTAATCAGTATTTTTCTTTTTCTTTTTGCCAGTCTGGAGCTTGAACTCAGGGCCTGGGTACTGTCCCTGAGCTTCTTTTGCTCAAGGCTAGCACTCTACCACTTGAGCCTTGGCACCATTTCCAGCTTTTTCTGTTTGTGTGGCACTGAGGAATTGAACCCAGGGCTTCATGCATGCTAGGCAAGCACTCTATCACTAAGCCACATTCCCAGCACTACTCAGTTATTTTTGACAACTATTTTAATCATATTATTTTTTTCTCTTCAATTTGTCAATGTAATAAGACAACTGAATTTTTTTTCAAGTTTTACACAGTTAAAATGCATTTTATTTTGTTAGGGCTATTCATTTGAATATTAATCTTGATTTAGATTTTGTTTATTATATTTCACCACAATCTTGTATCTGTTTTATGAATGGAAGCAGACTGCTATTTTAAGCAATACTGATCATTTTAGAAGCTGAAAGAAGGAAAATTTCACAAGTCACTAATTTCCTGTTCTATTTTTAGCTAGATAATTTGAAGAAAACATACGAACAACTCTTCCGGAAGCACAGGAAATTTGAAAGGCAATATTTAGACACATTCAATGATTTCTATGCTACAGTAAGTTGACCTTTCCCTACATTGAGGTGTTACACTATTCTCATATATTATCTAAAAGTAATTTTATTATTTTATTTTCCTTTTTGACTGCTTAAACACAGAAGTAATTCTTTCATTCTTTTGCTCAAGAAAAGAACATTGGATTCTGAACTTTCTAATGTAATAAAAGACTATACAGGTATTTCAGAAGCATATAATAGAGTAGTGGACGAAAATAAAAAAATTTCGGTTGACATGTCCAACATGGTAGAGAAAATCAATAAAAGGTAAGTCTGCACGTACCCTTTTTCTTTTATACAGTATACCCAATATGTGAAATGTAATCAACCCCTCCAATCTGTGTCCCTGGATTGCCATGGTGATGTCTGTGTGTATCACCCAATTAAATTCAGTCTGTGTTCCAGATGTTACTCTTTAATTACAGTGGATCCCAATAAGTCAAGAGAGCTAAGCAGATCTTTAGAAGAAGCTTAGTACATACTCATCTCACCTCCTTTGAACAAATACTACTCTATTTAAACGTATGTTAAAGTTGAATGTTGTCTACTCAAGCTCATTGGGCTCCTTCAGCCAACTACTAAACTCGTATTTCTTGGTTCAAAATTCAGAGTTTATTTAACTTCTCTTTCTGTTTCAATTCTCATACTCAGTATTTCATCAAAGATAATTCCACATACTAAAAACTTTGTAATCTTTCCACTTTCCTATTCCACCAGAAATCTATCACATCCTGCTCAAACTTAAAGTAACTTCTGAAACTGGTCTAAATGCAGTCTTTGTGTTTCCTCTTTCTAATCCATCATCCACAATGTGAGAGGTTTTTTTTTTTTCCTGTCATCTTATTTTTTTAATGTAAGTATAATAGTTCCCCTCCAGACTGGCATTAATTTTAGCTTGGGTAAAGCAGGAAACCCCTTATTCACATATTCTACAATGTCCTTGAATATTTCATGCCTATGATGTGGTTAAAAATAGTGGCTTTCCTTCTATTTCTCCTACTTGTCACCTTTGATTTCCAATTCACATGGCATTTTATAATGCTTACTCATCTTCAAATATGTTTCCTGTATTTTCTACACAGTACTTCTCTTTGAAGAACGTAGTATTGGAATGAGGTTCAGTGAAATTCATTCTCTATTCACACGTAATTCTCCATAGCTCTTGTGATGTGTGCAAAACTGAATTGTGCTAGGCTAGGACCACTTTTTTTCTTTGTCAATTTTCACTCTCAGCTGACATAAGTCCTAGTACATATTATACCTTTAATTTTGAAGGACTGAAAGGAAGGGGAAGAAAGAAGAGAAAGAGGAATCATGATACTTTGGTAAATTTGGAAAGAATAGAGTAACCCATTCATTTATGTAAATAATAGAACAGAATTGCTAGTAAAACTCGCCTATGTATTAAACGTACAAATTTTAAAGGAAGCAAAATGAAAAAAAAAAACCTTCCAATTTTTGATTCTGGTATGAGAACTTGAACTCAGGGCTTGGGGTACTGTCTCTTAGATTTTTTTTTCACTTAAGGATAGCCTTATCTTTTGAGCCATCGTTCCACTTTCAGATTTTTGGATGTTAATTGAAAATAAGAGTCTCATGTGCTCTCCTGCCCAAACTGGCTTTAAATTTTGATCCTCAGATCTCAGCCTTCTAAGTAGCTACAATTACAGGAACAAGCTACTGGCACTTGGCTAAAGGGAATGCTTTTTTTTTTTTAAAGGATAATCTAAAATTATAGTCACTAATATTATTTTTAATTACATATTTTATTAAGGAAACATAAGATAAACACAAGACAACAAAAGATAGCTGAAGAGTAGGTAAAGCTATTAGGGGAAGCTCTTTCTAGAGGAGATTGAATGAACGTTAACATTTGTCAGTTTGTCCTGAGATGACAAGTAGCAACAAACCATAAGGCTTAAACCATAAAGGTTTATTTCTTCCCTATATTGTAGTGTAGCTGTATGTTCTCTGTCTGTGCTTCATGTTATCTCTAAGAAGAACTACGGTGAAAGTGGGGGTCACTTCTTGGTTTGGTAAATACAGGAATTATGCCCTGCTGACATCATCCAGTTGCTCCTACAGCTTTCCAATGGAAAGTCTGGGATGTTCCCTTAAGCCTCACTGCACTGAACAAATCATGTCACATAACCGATGCTCATGTCAGTGGGGTGAGAGATCATTCACCTGAGAAGAGACATAGTGAATAGCGGGAAACATTATGACAAACTATGACACAAATTGGGAACATAGCCCCAGCGATAGGGAAGAATGCGCCGAGTATGCCCCTTGCTGGCTGAGAATGTACCTCAAGATGTCACTTCACTTATATTAATCCCTAGCACCAAAATAAATACAAAGTAACAAATGAATGAATGAATGACTAAATGGATATGTTGCTTATGGGACAATATAATGGATTCTTTCCCACTGCTTTGTATTTCTTTCAAATCTGCGGCCATTTCATGCTTCTGCGTTTGATGTAGAAAACTAAAGTTTACTTTTTACCTTTTAAACATAGTATATGTACAAACCTACAGCCAGCATTATACTCAATGGTGAAAAACTAAAGCCATTTCCTCTTAACTCAGGAACAAGACAAGGATGCCCACTCTCTCCACTTCTCTTCAATCTAGTATTAGAATGCCTAGCTACAGACAAGATGCAGACATAAAGGGGATCCAAATAGGGAAAGAAGAAATAAAACTCTCCCTCTTTGCAGATGACATGATCCTGTATTTAAAGAATCCCATAGACTCCACTCCCAAATTACTCAAGCTGATTCAAAACTTTGGCAAAGTAGCAGGTTATAAAATTAACCCCCAAAAATCAATGGCTTTTCTGTATGCCAACAATGAGAAAAGTGTGGCTGAAATTAGGAAAGCAACTCCATTTGTAATAGTCCCACAAAAAATAAAATACCTAGGAATTAACTTAACTAAAGAAGTGAAGGACCTATATGATGAAAACTTTAAAATCTTGAAAAAGGAAATCAACACAGAACTTAAAAAATGGCAAAACCTCCCATGCTCCTGGATTGGAAAGATTAACATTGTGAAAATGGCAATACTTCCCAAGGCTATCTACAAATTCAACGCAATACCTATCCAAATTCCAACCTCATTCTTCAAGGAAATAGAAGAGGCAATCCAAAAATTCATATGGAACAATAAAAGACCCTGAATAGCAAAAACGCTCCTGAATGGAAAGAACACTGCTGGAGGAATATCAATACCAAACTTCAAACTCTACTATAAAGCCATAGTAATCAAAACAGCTTGGTATTGGCATAAGAACAGACCTCAGGACCAATGGAATAGAATTGAAAACCCAGAAATGAACCTACAGACCTATAGCCATCTAATCTTCGATAAGGGAGCTAAAACAATACAATGGAAGAAAGACAACCTCTTCAGTAAATGGTGCTGGCAAAATTGGTTAACTACATGTAGAAAACTTAAGCTAGATCCGTATATATCACCCTGCACCAGAATCAACTCCAAATGGATCAAAGACCTTGAACTCAAAGCGGACACTCTGAAAACATTACAGGATGGAATAGGAGAAACCCTAGGTCTCCTTGGCTCAGGCCGAAATTTTCTGAATAGAGACCCGGAAACACAACAAATCAAAGAAAGGTTGGACAAATGGGATTGCATAAGGTTGCAGAGCTTCTGCAGGGCAAGTGACATAGCTAGCAAGATCAATAGAAAGCCCATGGATTGGGAGAAGATCTTTACTAGCCATACAACGGACAAGGGTCTCATATCTAAAATATACTTGGAACTCAAAAAATTAAACCACCCAACAACAAATCCTCAAAGAAACAACTGCCCAATAAATAAGTGGGCGAAAGGCTTAAAGAGAAACTTCACTGAAGAAGAAAGAAGGATGGCCAATAGACACATGAAGAAATGTTCAACATCCCTAGCCATAAAAGAAATGCAAATCAAAACAACATTGAGATATCACCTCACTCCAGTTAGAATGGCAAAAATCAAGAACTCTAACAACAACAGATGCTGGAGGGGATGTGGACAGAAAGGAACCTTACTTCATTGTTGGTGGGAATGTAAACTTGTTCAACCACTTTGGAAAGCAGTATGGAGGTTCCTCAAAAGACTTCACATAGAGCTCCCCTATGACCCAGCAATCCCACTTTTGGGCATTTACCCTAATGTTTACAAACAAGACCACACTAAAGCTACCAGCACAACTATGTTTATTGCAGCATTATTTACCATAGCTAAGATATGGAACCAACCCAGATGCCCCTCAGTAGATGAATGGATCAAGAAAATGTGGTATATATACACAATGGAATTCTATGCCTCCATCAGAAAGAATGACATTGCCCCATTTGTTAGGAAATGGAAAAACTTGGAAAAAATTATATTAAGTGAAGTAAGCCAGGCCCAAAGAAACGTAGGTCCCATGGTTTCCCTTATTTGTAATATCTAGTATATGTATGATTCAAGCGGAAAAGGTCAGATAATGTGATGTCAGGAAAATGAACCCTTAGATGTGTATTTTAATGTTTTTTTCTTTCATGCATGTGTTTCTAACACATTTATAAGATTATCTCTTTGTTGCTTTGTATGTCCCTCCCCCACAGTATAACCCCTGCTTTCACTATATTTGATGTCAGTATAACTTGTGGAGGAGATGGGGAAAAACCAGTTGTTTAAGGATACAGGTGGATCTGTTGCAACAATGAGAAGTACAAGTTGTCATGTCCAAAACGAGCTTTACAACGTTGGTGCGGGGGGGGGGGGGGGGGGGGGGAGGAGAAGGATTGGGATTAGGGGGGGAGGGGGGAGGCTGGGAAGGGATGTGAAGGGTAAACAAAGGAGGAGGCTGCAATGCTTGGTAAGAAATGTACGCACTATCCTGCCCATGTAACTGTAACTCCTCTGTACAGTATGTTCACAAATAAAATTAAATTAAAAAAAAAAAAACATAGTATATGTAGGCATCTTATCATCTTCCTCCACTAACAAAAATTTTAGCTGTGTTAGCAATCTGTTTCTGCACCTTGATACTCTCTCTCAGGTTTTTGGTTATTTCTCCCTTTAGCTCTTTCTACTTTGTCTTACCCCCTTTTCCCTCTGAAAACCATTTACAATTTTTTATCCCTGTAATAAAGTCAAGGTAATGATTTGCAAGTTTATATCTATGAAAGAATTTTTTTCAGTGATATATTTGTACGCTCCTTAGAGCCTCCTATCGTTTCCTAAACCACAGTAAACAAAGCTCCATTATACAAA